ATTACAGTTTTAAAATTGTTGCAAACATGACTTTGTCCAGCACTCTGTATGCACGTAAATCATTCATTTATTTATGACTATTCCACGAACAACGCATGCTAGGCCATGTTCAAGTAAAGTACGCAGCCACGCCCACTCCGGCGCTCGGATGTGGAGTATAGCTGAAATCGTTGAAACAAAAAATATATCTTACTCCAGTGATGTCAGCAATAGCGTTGGTCACTTTTGCACCATTATCCGTCACAGTGTGGTTGAGTTCGACAACCTGAAAATCACGAATACCAAACGCATCGTAATCGCGGGCACCCCTTACTGGCACATACACATGAGGCGCCGGATATTTAGAAGGTTGCTAAGATCTTCCAAACCACTGCAGATACATGAACCAAAAATTCAAAATTTGTTGGTAATCTTCTTGAGAAGAATTAGTTTAAATTGTCTTAGGACTTTTTCTCCAAACTACATTCCAGAGACTTTTAGTAATCACGCGTAGGAAATTTTTTGTATATTAACTATCACTAACCGCTCGGTTCAGCTCTCTACGGACTTCTTCAATGGTATTCTTCTCTAAAGCTTCCAAGTTCTCGCTTAACGCTTTCCTCGTAACTCTATTGAAGTCCACAGTCGGGTCTGTAGTAGTCTGAAATTCACTTATGAGTTAGTAGCCTTTTTCCAACATAAGAAAATTAATATTTTTTGAGCATTTCTACATGATGTGAATTAAATCGCTCCCATTTCACGCTCATTGTGACACACGAATTGATTCAGATCTTTTTATCGCATCAAACGCAGCGAATTAACGTACAATCATTATCCCTCTGAAACGGAGGGCGTACGAGTTGACGTGTACAGGGGCACAGCAAGAGCGACCTCTTCCACCAATCGTTGCAGGCTGGGATGGCATATACTTATGGAAGAAACAGCCCTGGCCTGCAAAGGGTTCGCGCTCCTTCACATGCTCTCTCCTATGCATGCAGAAAGGATAAAGCATAAATTCTTCACCGATCCCTCTGTGGGATGCGGCACGCATTCTACTACAGAATCGTAGTGGTTTATTGTGTGCGATGTGGCCTATAAAATGACTTGCAGGGGCCAAACAACTCAGTGTTCTTATCCACCCAGACGAATCTGGTACCAATTCACCGTCCCCGGAGGGTAGAAGGCTTGGTTGGCCTGGGCGGGTGTCGACCTGGGATTCGAACCCAGGACCGCGCGAGTGGTAGGCGCGCCACTTATCACTACTCCACTGAGCGATTTATGATCACTATACATGCATAATGACCATATATCGCTCATTGAAACCTGCTCAGAGTGCGCTATGCACTGTCCGGCTTCCACTGCAAGCCCTAGTGATATAAGAAAATTTTATCACTAAGGACTAGCTTGATGATGATGAGTTTTTGGTCTTCTTCACGCATTACGATTTCCGACAACGCGAACCTACTCCCCACACTCCCCCCCCCTCGCCGCCACCCCCTTCTTAAAAATGGAGACACCGCTGCCCTGTCCTTCGGCGTTTTGCGCTTACGAAAACCTCTCTGGTGCCCAAATACGACCCTCTGATTTGGATTTCAGAACGACTGTATTTTCTTCAAGGTACGACCCCTCAGGATCTCCTCCCTCTCCGGTGCGACCATCCCATCCCCTCTCCCCATCCTACCTCGCATTTTACTAAAACCTTACAACTCTCTACTACTTTCCTCCAGAAAACACCGTATCAAGGGGGAGGGGTACATAGCACGATCACAACAGGGGAAGCTGAGAAAAGTCAACCTCAAAAATATTTTACTCGAGGGCAAATCTCCTCCCCTCAATAGAGTTCCACATCATGTGCCCAGTGCCCTGACAGGGTGAGAGTCGAGACTTCGGAATGATAACTTTCCGAGTTTTTTTTTAATCTTAGTGCGAGAATAAAAAGTTTAGACATGTTCGAATAGTAGTCCTAAAAGGGTGTCACACCATTATTAATGAACGATTGGAGGAAATGGAACCAAGGATTCATGTTCATTCCACAAATCAACCAATAAAATCGGTCAATAAAATAGCGGGGAAAACCAGTTATTATTTTCGAAATGACAACTTCGTAAGACATACCTCGTTGGTGATACTTATCAGTAGATCTGTAACTGTATTGTTCTCTTCGGAATAAACCTCTGAAAGGGTGGCGATAAGTACGAGAGCAACACTGACCAGTAGTTTCATTTGGGAAGGTGTTTGTGTAGGGCCTGAAATGGACAAGTAGTACAAAAATTAAGTGTTCTTACGTTAAAGCCGCGAGTTAACAGAACGACATTTATTATCTTAATCTGTATGAAGGACCATGGATGAGTGACGACATTGTCAAATAACTTGTACGTGTTCGCGTACGTAGAAAAAGAGAACAGTGACAGCTAATGGGCTCTTGAAAACCCTATAAACTAGGCCGAACAAGGTCAGAAGAAGGCGGTTAAGGACTGGGCACGGAGACCGCCAGCTGTGGCGATCAAACTTGCGGGAAAATCACACCAATAACAGGTCCTCACCATCAAGAATCGGGCGAGGAATTGTCGCCCACGCGATTGCTTGTAAACCATCCCTTACA